GCAAACTTCGTTCCGTCCATTTCTGAATCGCCTGTTAAGTGTCAAGCCCTCAACTCATAGCAAAGGTTAAAATGCGATGCTCTTTTTCACAGGTAATTGTCTCAGGAAACGACAGATTTGTGCCTTTTGGAGTATCTGCACATGGACTACTTTGACAAGGATACAGTCGCAGTTCAGACAGTGCCCATTCGATATACAGAGAAATTGCTATGCATCAAGCAGCTACAGACCAATTCTGGTTATGAACAACGTGCCCCACACTATTGAGTAGAAGCTATTGAGATGGTAACCGTGAATCAAGTAGCACAAGTGTTTACTTTAAACACTAAATAAAAATAAACAAACAAATAAAAGTTTTATTCGCGACTGCGGGACACGCCTAAAAAGGCATGATCATAGTAATTCGGAGAGTATAATCACTAATTGTCACAAGCGTTACTATGTTTCCAGTAGCTACTGGAGTTGTGTTTTATGCATATAAGTGCATGGGTTAGTAATCTTGTTGAGTGAATTTGTTACTGTTGTGCTGAATTTGTGGTTGATTTGGATGAATTCGAAAATTTAGGAGGGAATCAAATAATATCTTCGATATGGCTAACGTCCGTGAGTGGGGTAAGATCCTCCCGAAAGTCAGGAAGCAGTGACTTTATTTAGTGGCGAGTCATATCATCCACGTCACAGTGTAGTTAAACAGATATTTGTAGATTTTTATAGGGAGAACGCTTGCCAGGCGAAAACCCACGACGTCCTGGAACACTGCCGCCGAACCAGTGGCTGGGACAGGATTAACCCGGACCACCCAGCTGGCACCACCTTGAGGTTATTCGGATAGCCAGCCGTTAATATGATCATGAATAGGCTACAGAGACGCAGACAACTGGATTTTATTCGGGAGAATAGTAATTGGGAGAGTTAACATGTGACTTGCTATTTGTATAGCAAACTAATGAAGGTATATGCGACTGCGCGTAAAGCATACGTTGTGCGCGAAGTATATCCTCATTTCTTGTCCTCAGCATTGTGTTGTCCCAGTGTTGGTAAAATGCGGGCATTTTCAGCAATCTGCTCCTAAGGTCGCGCGACAGGCAACACAAGATTGATTCCATGCCTAGCGCATATCAGTGGAGATATGAGAATGTGTTTAGTACAAATTGACGATGTTGTCAGGACACCGCTACTAAATTTGTGGAATGCAAAGTTGGTTACATTGACAACGGATGATGCCACTTTGCGAGTAGCTGCGGTTCACTTCCTGTGTTGCGTGCTTCCTCCATGTGTACTCTCATTGTATCAATGTTAGCACTATCTGTGTCATCCAGTGTTTCATTAACTTTTGTCCAGTTGTTCATGTGAGGTCAGTGCGCTGTGCAAGAGTGCGATCGGTGCGGGCATTACATTTTGTGCTCTTTTGCTGTGCGGATTTTGTATTGGATTTAGGCCAATGCCCGGAGAAAGGACGTTGTGTAAGTGCAACGGCACAAGGCAAGAGTCCACCCGGAGCAACTTGGCCTTAGAAAACAACCTGTTGGTTTACATTGATGCGGTTTTACGTTTTCCTTTTGACTGATCGCGCTACGTGCTCCTCCGCTAGTACGTAATCCCAAGTCTGGTTACGAGTCCTAGGAATTCGATACTAGTAAAATGCGGAGCATTATGGAATCTAGGTCCTTCTGGTATAACACAATGAGTATGAGTAGTGGCTAGTGAGTCGATTCCGAAGGAACACTGTACTTATCAATGACTAATAAAGGTGTTTTCTTTTTCACAGAGTGAATCTACCACCAGCTACTGATAACATCATTTTCGAAGTCATCAGGCGTCACCCATTCCTTGGTCTACTTTAGATTATGCAGACAACAAGTCGAATAGTTTGACTCATAACACGAATTTCGACAGTTTGTCCCATCCCAGACCATTAGTTACCCCTTTCTTTTAGTGCTGGAGTCAGTGCACAACGGATTATCTTGCACCCCCTTTCTGCGAAAAGCGGAAAGATGTGAAGCTGACTCGCTTTAGATGGCAAACATCACTTTTAGTGTTCTCCCACAGTTGTTGAAATTAATACCTAAATAAATAGATAAAGTGATATGTTTCCCAATAAGCAGGATTCTCCCTTATCAGGAAAGATGGCCATCTGTACATAGAAGCACCAGTATCATATTGCGCGCCGGACCACATCCCAAGGTAGATTGCAGCAATTAGACAGTTAGGAAGACACGCGAGCAAAAGGTAAGCTAATAACTTGACCAGTGTTTCTGTCTTGATGTAGATCCTTTTTAGTCAGCTACCTGCGGCATATTTTACATTTGTTTACCTTTCGAATCTCCAGTCAATTGTGTAACGCGCGAAAGTATTGAATTCGCGGTTTAATGTAGTAAAGCATGGACCAAACGAATCGTATGTGCTAAGGGAGTTGGACAGACCGTATTTCGTCTCTATCCAGTTTGTCCAGCGTTGAATACCCAACAGCGCAGTTCTACTGAGGACGGCTGAGACGGTCTAGCTACTTTTCCACAAAGATGTCAGTGCACGAGACACTGAGTTACCATTCGGTCATTCACTTGATACACCTGCGTGTTTTGTTGTGCTTGCACAAATTCAGCAATGGAATATGAGGTAAATGTAGCCCAATTAACTGGCTACAGATTATACAAATAAAGAAGACAAAGATAACGTTGCGAGTTCTATCATTTCCATAGTGTCATGTCAGGAAAATAGAATTTCGGAAGGTTTTACAAACTAAATAGGTTTTGTATAGACTTCTACTGTGCCACCATACATGTCTATACTAACTTGCTTTGTATCCTACAACTTTTTGAAAGTACGAAATCCCAGTCGGTTTCAAGTCTATTCCAATATATTTGAAACTGACACAACTCTGTGTTTATTTGCCATGCGTTAGACAACAAAGAAGTTAGACGAGGTAATGTAGTTATACGTGGTAAGTTGTACATACTAGGTTCTCAAGTACGCCCCCGGTCATTGGTCAGGGCCATATTCCCAAACCTTATTATCCGAAGGAGCGGAATATTAAGAGCATCCAACCTAACCGATGAGAAGGCCAGAACAGTCTGGCCTCCGGAGCGACTGAATTACCCGAGTGATCACAGGTGATTTGAATTCAACTGCAAAGCCCTTGACATCCGTGACTCTAAACAGCGTATTTGAGCGTGGCACGTAGATTAAGTATCAGGTTCAGAGTAATGTTTAAGAGTAATCTCCCATAACTCAAATTGGTCTATGTCTGCAGCTTTATGCTGCAGTACTGCGGTATCAACCTGGTCTCCTTCGCTCTTGCATTTGCACCTTGTCAACTGCACAAAAGCCTGAAATTTATTACGGTTTGCATCTCATACTGCTAGGCTGTGTTGATGTGAGCAAGGGTGTGCGGTGGTTTACGTTGTAGATCTCCTGGGTTACAAATTCAAAGCCCAAACTAAAGAAAAAGCTTTCCCGTTAAATCGCTGGTAAGAGCATGGATGAAGTGTACCGGTTGATGCACAGTACGAGCTGAAATGTAGGAACTGATCAAACCATGCATTCCACTACTAGTCAAATCAACTCAGCCAATGCAAATCGAGTCATGAGTGTGCATATTTCACTTAAAAACAGTGAATTTTCAGTAGCAACGCACTCCAAAAATGTCAAAAATAGGATTATGGTGCAAGCAATAGTTAAAAAACAGGAAACAAATCTTAAAGCTGATGTAGGAGTACAACCTACTTGGTAAATTCTGCTAATTAAACGTTGAATAATAACGTACGGGTCCAAAAGAAATCTATCCGGTTACGTAATACCATGACGTGGCAACGCCTTTCGCTGCCAGAAGCAGTCGTAAGATTTTCGCCCCTCCCTTGCAGCTGTAAATCCTTAACCGTTGCAATCCTGAATTATTTTCCTATCACTTTAATATTAATTTTATGTCATACGGTAGATGTTTTGTTGGTAATAAACATAAAAAGAAAGAAAGTTTATTTTTATGAACATTTTTAAAGTGGTACTTCTAAGTATCGACGGGAACGTAGATCATCTACATTACGGAAATTGGGATCTTTGATAGCAGTTCTTTTGTCGTCGCAGCACCATAAACAACACAAAAAGAAGATTTCGATTGTGACCTAGATTGTAATTTTCGAAGGAGACATATTTCACATCTTCCCTTTTCTGCAGCGAATACAGGCCAGAGAGCGCCAACCTTATTGTGTAAGGTCTTAGGCAGAGCATAATAGTGTATCCTTCGCCTTTTTATTTCGTTCGGTGACAACATTGGATTAAGTGAAGGATGGCTTCTTTTTCACTGGCATGCTTTCCATAGCAACAATCCACTTCGCCAAGTTTTTCGAAACTCCAAAAGGATGCATGTCCTTATCCATGTGGACTGGCTTGCCGAACAATCTCCTCTTGGTGCCAGCTGATTGGTCCGGGTTAATCCTCTCCCAGCAAATGGTTCCGCGGCAGTGTTCCAGGACGTGGTGGGTTTTCGCCTGACAAGCGCTCTCCGTATAAAAATCTACAAATGTCTGTTTAACTACACTGTGACTTGGATGATATAACTCGACACTATATAAAGTCACTGCCCCTTGTATCTCTGTGAGTGACATTGTAATTCAAGTGTGTTGGGCCCTTGGTCCTATGCGGTCCTAAATGCGTTTGAACCAGTTGTTTGGCCACCGGCTCCCAACACGTTGCGATTCCCTCATATCGAGCTGCAGTCTTGTAGGTCAGGTCCTGGATCAGAGCCTCGGGGTGGGGCTTCCTAAGACAACCCTCTGCTTCGGCCTGGGAAACCGGGTAGTATCACTCCCACTAACAAATCATGGATGCATCAATCCGTTCCCTCCCCTCCCAATAAAAATACACTATACAAGTCAAAACCCACCGATCGACCCTACACCCGCACTCCCCGCACTCCACCACTCCACCCTCAATACCATCCACACTACACCCTTCCCCTCCCGCCCCGCCACGCACCCCGCTTCCCTGCAATCACCCACTCCCTATCATCGAACAACCCCCCCGGCATTCCACCCCCCCCCCCCACTCCCCCCCCCACCCCCCCACACCCCCCCCCCCCCAACCCACCCCACACCCCCCCCCCCCACCCACAACCCACCCCCACACCCCAACCCCCCCACAACCCACCCCCCCCAACCCCAACCCCCACCCCCCACCCAACCCCACACCCCCCACCCACCACCCACCACACCCCCAACACCCCCCCAACCACACCCCCCCACCCCACCACCACCCCACCCCCCCACCCACACCCCCCCACCCACCCCCCCCCCCCCCCACCCACCCACCACCCCCCCACCCCCCCCCCACCCACCACACCCCCCCACCCACCCCCACCCCCCCCCCCCAACCAACCACACCCCCCACACCCACCACACCCCCCCCCCACCCCCCCACCCCCCCACCCCCACACCCACCCCCCCCACCCCCCCCCCCCACCACCCCCCCCCCACCCACCCCACCCCCACCCCCCCACCCCCCACCCACCCCTCCTCTTGAAGTTTAGGAAGATGTTTCCTGTTTGGACGGACAGTTCCACAGGCAAAAGTTTGTTCACCTTCAACTAATTCCAAAGATGTAACATAATTGTTCCTTACCACAAAGTAACCACCTCCTTTCAGTGTTTGGATGATTCTGTCCACAACGCTTGCCCCAATCCAAATATCTCTTTAGAAATAGGAGTGTTCTGTGCTGTGATACACTTCAAACTCATAAATATAATCACTCATTTCAGCTACATACCATTACTGTCTACAAAGTAAAATTGCTATGAACACTCAAACCACAAAATACGTATACGCAGTACTAACAATGAAGATAGTAATAACTGGTAAATAACTTACTTGCTGTTACAAAAATAAATTGCTCGAATATGTAAAGGTTGCACCTCACCCTATGATTATGCTCAGTAAAGGCTCAACATATTAATAGTACGCTTGAGGTCTGACGGTACTTTCTGATACCAACATATACTTTGAATTAGTATACTAAGGCTTGCGCTTGAAATTGCGAAACAAATATACCGAATCATAGCATGTGCACTATAAAACCGAATAAAAATTAATGAGACTGGTAAGCTGCAACAAAACCAAGTAAATTTTAACAAATGGCGCACGCACTCACAGTTCTCTGAAACCAATTTCCCAGCGCAAACGCGATGAATCACAACGGTTAACTCCGCACACTGTAGAGGAAAGTATTAGAGTTCTGGCCCTTACTTAATTGTTGACAGAAAGCTATTGTACGTATCCTCGTGGGTACCGGCTAGAATAACGCTTGCACTTAATCAGTATTGCAATTTAAACAAACTGGTATTGAAGTATGGCCAGGACACGAAGCGTTAAACCATCACAACTGCGCATAACCGTTCAATATTTCGTTTTATTTAACATCAAAAGGAGCTAGTTTTACAGTGCTGTTGTGAACGCAGGTATTTATACTGTAACATTACTCGCGTACGAAATTTACAAAACCACCTTTCCTGAATTACTTACAATAAAAGAGTCTATCATACCATTAAAATTTATTCACTCTCTAGGTCCTCTTTCTATGGTGAGAAATGTCAAGTCCATGAGCATTGTCACTTTCATTGCTGATGGAAGACACTATATTATAAGCTCCAGTTTTCAGCAACTGCGTTCAACGATTGCAATGCTAATAGTCCTCGTAAGCATGATGCGCCGCCAGTTCACATTAATCGGTGCAGATTTCATGCGATAATATTTCTCTATGAAGCACAAAACTCATCTAGTCCACCGCTTTTGTGTTATCCTGAAGATTTAACTATTTACTATAGAATTCCACTTACGGTAAGGAAGTCCTCTAATTCTATGTCTTCATCGGCTTCGCTATGCAGACAAATCTATCATCAAGCAGATTTGACGGATTAAGAAAAGGATATTCGTACGCAAGGCCATGAAAATGCTAAAATCAAAGAAAGTTCTCGCTATTCAAAATGCGATGAGAGAATTTCCAGTATTAAATCAGTAGAAAATGCAATCATGATATAAAAGGGTATTCCATACTACTCGTTTCTTTTGGAGCATACTTAGTTCCTGCTAAATTAAGTAAGAACAGTTAATGGAATTATCCACTGCACTGTAAACTGTGCTCTCTCTATGCTGAAGCAAACAAACGCTTAAAGATTTGGTCTTAACAAACTTTGCTGCAGATCCAGCTCTTGTGTTTGAAGATGTTTCTGATAATTAATTGTACCCATGGAGTAATAGATTAGCTCTTGCGACAAGAATACGCTTTTTGATAAATCACTTCAGGCAACCACAATTATAGAGCGACTTGAAAATGTAAATAAGCTCTCGGGAACTTTGTCATAGTTGGATAAATGAACAAATATCTGCCTCCCCCAGCTGAAAGACGGGCAAATCCAAGTGGATGCGTCATTTCAGAAGTTAATGTACAAACTATTAACTTTTACACCATCATCATCATCATTGTCATAACTACACACAAGCTGAGGATGAGAAACACACTTCTGCTAATGAGCCACAGTACAAAATGACAGTACGCAACGACTGTACAAACGACATGCAGCGAATAGTTCCAATAGCAAGTAATGTAATGTTAGATATCATATTATGCACTTGGTATGAGATCGTAATTGGTGGGGGAATATAAAATGGGAAGGGGTGGACAAAGAAACTCACAACACAAAAGCCATTGGGTTTGATTCTACGCCATATATGCAAGTGTGTCCAACCAAACGTATTCTTCTTCCTTCGGATCACAGCCAAGCAGTCAAGCCATAAAAACCGACGCCAACTTCGAAGTGTGGGTTTTCATTTCTCTCGACCAAGTCATCGCATAGCCTCCGCTCCTCCTCTTCCATCCACACCCCCGGCGCGCAAACAAGGCATGTTGTTCGGTTGGGATGCTGGCATGCGCAACACCTGATCTAGCCATCGGAGTCTAGTGCTTGACATAGTGATGCTGAGCGGTTCACTCGCTTTTCCTCCACCGAATACGCGATGCCGAACACATTTATTGCTCACGCAGTGCTCCCACCAGACCTAAACTATTCTGTGAAGGCAGCGACTATCGAACGTAACTAGTACCTTTATGTCGGTCGACCTAGTGGGCTAGGTTTCAAAATCGTATAGGAGGGTTGAATGAACGGGTGCATTCTAAATTCCGCCTTTCACGGCTGGAATGATGTCGCGTTAGCGCCGTAGTTGTCGGTGATTGGAAAATGCACTCCGATATTTCGTTATACAGTTGGTAACCTCATCCTATCGCAATGAGGCCCGACCTTACCGTGGCGCAATGGTTTGTGTGCCTCAAGGATCCATTGAGCTATGCTGGGTGGTGTTTTGCATCTTCAGAATCACTCATACCAGATTGAACAATGGTTAGACGCCAGACAAACTCAGCCTCCTTGTCCTCCAGGTTGGGAGTTGGAATGAGGGTGGCAACTTATTCCTTAAAACGGACTCCTTGTAGCCCAACACCAAACCCGCTGTCATGCGGTCAGGTTTTTGAACCAAAGGCTGTGTTCGAGAACCCTAATCGTCCTCCTGTCCAGGCCTGGGCAACCTGACAGTATCCTGTCCACGCAATACAATGAATTTCTCTTCAAACAAATTTCTGATGCTCTGGCCACCGCAGAGAATAATCAACGGTGCCCTATCTGCTGCATAGAGCAGAGTGGATAGGGATTTGGATGCTACTGCTCAAGCCTTCCCGTCTTCTTATTCCCCCTCTTACGCTTTTTCACTTTTACCGTCCCATACCAACTTCACTTTTTTCCTCCCTGTTTCAACAACCTGATTCTTGGCCCACCCCAACATGCTTTGCTAGGCGTTTAGCTTCTAATTTCAATTCACATGCTAACGCGGGGCGTCACTCCTCTCCTCTCGATAAGCCCATGTCCAAACAAGCCGTCCATTCCAGTTCATCGGCTTCCATTTGGAATCCTCGATCCTCCTTCAGATTGGAATGTCTCATTGTACGCACATTGCTATAGATCGGTCAACAGGCAGCACTTGCCCGAACATTAGAGACCCTCTCGATCGATATCTGCTGCTTATCGGAGACCCGCCTGCAAGACTCGAGCTCTGTGCTCACTCTGCGATCCACTTCAGGTGACGCAAGCAGTATTTTCTCATTGCACCTATCCGGTGACGATGCAGCTTCGAGCACCTGCCAAGTCGGTGATGGCATTGCCCTGTGTCCCCGGGCTGAAGCTGCTCTGGTTGATTGGATCCCAATCAGTAGCCGGATGTGTGCGGTCCGATTGGCTGGCACGTTCAAAACTTCGAAGTCGCGTGGAGCGAATAGGTGTCTATTTGTCATAGCTGCCTACGCACCCATAAACTGTAGCGACGATTCGGTAAAGAACAACTACCGCCAACTGACCCAGCTCCTTCGCCACAAAAGAAGCACGGACACTGTTGTGCTGGCGGAGGCTCTGAAGTCACAAGTTGGAAAGTTGTCCACTGATGAAATGCATCTGGGCGGTCAGCACGGTGTAGGCACCCGTAATGATAACGGTGAGCGGTTAGTTCATTTGTGTCAAGGTGCCCGCTTATTTCTTGCGAGCACTAACTTCCGACACAGCACCCGCCGGAGGGTGAGTTGGCGCCTACTAGCCTCGAACCAGCCTTGGACGCAGATCAATCACATTGCTGTCAGTTACCGCTGGAGAGGTTGCATCCAGAAGTGTTGCTCGATTTGGAGCACATATGTAGATACCGAGCACGCACTTGTATGTGCTGACATGTAGATGCGTTTTGGCGGACGCCCACGACGACGTTGTGAGCGCATTGACACCAGCCAACTGACAAAGCCAGCTGTTCTGAATGCGTAGCGAAGTACGCTGACATGCGAGTTGAGTAAGCGCTCACTAGAGACAATTGATGGTCACTAGTCACATTTTCACCAGACCTTACTACTTGCAGGCAAATCTTCATGTGGTATGTCTAATGGCCAACATGGACATTGGGTCTCTTCGCGGTCTCTGGAACTTATCGACGCTCGCCGGCATATCCCGGCTGGAAGTGAACATAATGAAACGCAAACAGCTCCGAGCAAGACTTCGTGCTAGCCTGAAGAGAGACCGCAAATCTTTGTAGTCCTTTCGTGCGTCAGAGATGGAAGTGGCCACTGCCCTTCGCAACCATCGTAAGTTATTCTGTCTGATACGGAAACAAGGCAGCAGGAGATCTGGTGTTGTGAAACAATTTGTGATGAGAATGGACAGCCTATCCACAATTTGTTAAAGCGTTTAGAGCAATGGGCTGAGCATTTGGCAAAGCAATTTAATTGGCTAGAATTGTTCAATTCGCCGGTCACTGTTCGTCCTGCTCCGTGGGCTGTCCATTTGGATCCACCCTCTCGCTCAGAAGTCGAACGGGAGATCGGCCTGTTGAAGTTAAACAGAGCCGCGGGACCAATTGATCTTCCTCCAGAAGTCTTGGTATTCGAAAGCCCAGCTCCTGTTGATGTTTTTAGATGAATTACTCTTGAAACTGTGGGAGCAGGAGACTGTCCCAACAGACTGGAACCGCTCCGTTATTGTTCCTATCTTCAAAGGCTGCTCACGCTGGGAATGCAGCTACCATAGGGGAATCAGTCTGATCTCCATCGCTTCCAAATTACTCGCCTCCATAATTCTTCACAGACTGACTGGCGCTCGTGAAAGCCAGATTCGTGAGCAGCAAGCCGGGTTTCGTCGTGGTCGTGGCTGCATCGACCACATCTTCACCTTGTGTCAGTTGTTGGAGCAACGTCACACACATTGTCGGCCTACTGTAGTCGTGTTTCTCGACATCAAAGATGACTTCGATTCGGTTGATCGATGTGCCCTTTGGAATTATCTACTCAGGAAAGGTGTGCTCGAGAAATATGCAAATATAATCCAAGAATTATATGCGCGTAGCAAGGGCAGAGTGAGGGCTTAGGGCAAGCTGTCGCCACCCTTCAATATCTTCAGCGGTGTGAGACAAGGATGCCCATTGTCACCTTTCCCCTTCAACTTCGCTATTGACGAAGTCATGGAGATTGCATTTATAGGACGTGACTTGGAAGGTGTGGAGCTACTCCCAGGAGAACAACTTCTTGACTTGTAGTGTGCAGACGACATTGCATTCATCTATGACAGCTCCCAGACATAGCAAGCCGTACTGGACAGATTAGCACTGGCTGTCAGGCGCTTCGGGCTTTGCTTTGCACCATGGAAATGCAAAGCGTTCCTCCAAGATTGGTAGGGATCGCCTCCTGCGCTGACCCTTGATGGGGATCAGCTAGAAGTCGTTCGGAAATTCAACTACCGGGAAACTGTATCAGCGCCCTTGGGATCGAAGACGAGATCACGAAACATATAGCAAAAGCTCGAAGTGCTTTTGCTAACCTTCGCCACCTATGGCGCATGCGCGACAT